TGAGTGAGGAGCTGGAGGCTCTGAAGACCGAGCTGGAGGACACCCTGGACACCACCGCGGCTCAGCAGGAACTCCGGTGAGTGGCGTCAGGCGGAAAGGCTCCGGACGTGCTGGCCCTCCTTGGGAGGTGGGGGATTTCCTTTCTGTTGTTAGTTTGGGTGTTTCTCTCCCCACGGCAGGTGGAGCGGGAACAAAACAGCCCTGGTCAGAAACCAGCCCGCATGGCGGGGCAGTGAACCAGCAGACAGACGTGTGCAGGGCGGGGTGGGATCCCGCGGGGCAGGCACGCGGACCGGGTGAGAGGCCTAGAGAGAGGGTCACAGGGACGGGTGGGCCAGACACAGACTCGGGGGGAGATCCAGGCGCGCTCAGGTTGCGGGCGGGCAGATGAGAAGGGAGGTACAGGCTCATGCTCGCAAAGAGAAAGAAGGGCGAGGGCAGGTCCCCGGACAGGAGTGCGCATCGGGCCCAGGCGTGTGCCGTGTGGCCGGTGAGGCGACCGCCAGCTACGGGCGCGCGGCCAGAGAGATCACGTGCCGAAGCCTCAGCTCACCAGCCCCCTGGAGGTCACAGGAGAGCTGGAGCGGCAGGCCTGGCAGAGGGGCTCCCGTGAGCCACTGATGGGACCTCCCACGTTGCTGCCTGGGCCTCTTCCTGACCGTCTGCTCCCTCCTCAAGGCTCGAGCTGCCAGGGGCATGAGGCCTCCCCCGGGTGCCCTGGCTGCGTGCGTGCATAGGCGTGCATGCACACGCACACCGGCCGGGGCTGCTGCGGGCTGTCCTCCCGCGAAGGCCTGGAATAAAACAGGAGGGGCCGAAGGGGAATCACTCAGGAAGACAGGTGTGGGCAGAGAGGAGACAACCTGGAGCCCCCAGGAGGGGTGCCCTTCCCTGGAGGGCAAGGGTGGGCTCACCAGGGGGCGTGGCCGGAGAGTGACATCACAGGTGTGCCTGGGAGGCGCGGGGGTCAGGGGGTGGGTGTCGGGGGAGTGGTGAAGAAGCAGAGGCCAGGAGCCTAACGATGTGCCGGGGACTTTGTCTGTGAATGCACACACAGCTTGCGTCCCCCGAGACAGCGGGGGGGGGGGCTCTGCCGGAGCCTGTCTGAGCCAGGCAGGCCCCCCCCCCCAGGCCCCCCCACCGCAGAACAGCTGTGCTGGCGGCAGCGTTAAGTCCTGGCCTTCTCTGTAAAATGTCTGCTTTTCAAAACCTGGAAACCGCTGAACCAGACTTTGTTGAAATACCCGTTCTCAGCCGGACTTTTGGCCACAACAGAAAAAAAGGCTCTGATCATTTCTTCCATTCACTCTTGCCAAAAAAAAAAAACAAGCACACGTGCATGTTTATCAAAACCACGCCCGTGCGCACCTCTCGCTAAGGACCCTCCCCCCCCCCCCCCCCCCTGGCTCCTCCCCCCCCCCCCCCCCCCGCTGGTTCGTCCCCGGGCATTCTGAATCCCGGGGGTCGCGGGGCGGTCACTGTCCTCAGCACATCCAGTACCTGCAGCGGACTCGGCGCGTAGCTCTCGGAGGACTTGCCCGGAGAGCCGAGGGGCAGCTGGCTTGATCGGCCTGGAGGAGGGAAGGAGGGCTAGTCAGGAGTCAGGAGCGGGACTCTTCCCCGGAGGGACGGTGCTCTGACGGCAGGAGCGCTGCTGCTGCCGCCGCTTCCACGGAAGTACTGGTCACACATGCTGGGGTGAGCTGAAGTCACCAGACGGAGTGTGTCCGTCTGTCGGGGCTGGCGCTCGCTCCAGCGTCCACCCCGCTCTGCCGGTCCCTTCGTCTCGAGGAGACCGTGGGGACGGGGCCCGACCAGCGAGCTTGCGGCTGAGCCCGGCTAGACCAGAGAACCTTCGCTGATCCCTTCTGTCCGGCTGCCCTGTGACCCCAGAGCCAGCAGCCCCCGGGCCCCCCAGTCCCCTGGGAGAGGGAGGAGAATGTGCCCGTGCGGTCCACCCCCAAGTCACTGTCCCGCTCACGTGTTTGGAACCATAAGAGTTATTCTTCAGGAGGGCTGGCGGGTCACAGCTCCTCCGTGTCCTGATGTCCTGCAGCTCTGAGCAGGCGTGGGTTTGCCTGGCTGGTTTCGGTCTTTACCAAGTCTGTGCTCAGATGGACGGATTTGTGAAGTCTCCTCTTAGTTAGCGAAACCACCTTGGTCTTTCAGCCTACCCACCGTGTGTTAGAGCAAGTCATAAAAGTACTGGAAAGCCACATAAAGACACTTAACACTCACACGATCTTTAGTCCCCAGGTTTAGGTTAGAGGAGACCTCCATTCATCTCAGGACATTCAGAGCTCAGGCTCTGGTCCCTCCAAACTCCGGAGACCTTCTAAACCCGGCGTTGGGGCCCCTGCACCTGCCTCTAGTTCCCTGTCCCTCCTCCTAGCCTCAGCCACCTCCTGATGACATCTCAGGAGAGGTCCACCTCCCAGGATGGTTAGAGTCCCGCCTTTATCGGGACGCAGTGTCCCGATTCCCGGGGCCTTCACTGCCCCTTAGCTTTTAAAAACCTCTTCGGATTCACCCTTTCCAGTTTCGCTGAGATGTCAACTGGCGCTGTGGCATCTCGCGCCTGCCAGGCGACCAGGCTGCCCAGAGCAGTCCGAAGACCCGTGTCTGATCGTCACCGCAGGCCAAATAATTCTCTCAAAGGAATTACCGTGATATATTTTCCGTGACCATAACAACATCCCAAATGTACCGAGGGCTGTTACAGGCCAGGCCCTGTGCCGGGCGCTTCCCGTGTGCGAGTCTCACAGCGGCCTCCCGAGACCCTCGGGTGCAGATGGAGAAACCGAGGTCCAGAGTTCGAGCTGTGCGAGGTCCTGGAGTTGGCAAATGTGAGAGCCGTAACTGAGCCCACGTCTGTCGACTCTGGGGAAAGCTGAGCATATTTAAAACCAAAACACCTTAAAAATGTCCTTTTAATTCAGTCGGTCCACTGATTCTGAGCTGCTTTCTCTACAAATACGTTTGTCCAGCACCAAGCGCGAACAGGAGGTGGCTGAGCTGAAGAAGGCTCTGGAGGAAGAGACGAGGAACCACGAAGCTCAGATCCAGGACATGCGGCAGAGGCACGCCACGGCCCTGGAGGAGCTTTTGGAGCAGCTCGAGCAGGCCAAGCGGGTGAGTGAGGCAGGGGCCGCCCGTGTCCGCGTCCTGCGGGAAGTCGCCCTCAGACCCCCTCCCCCCGCGCCGTCCACTCCGTACGGATTCACTTGGAGGCTCCCAGGCGGCTGCCGACCTCCGAGAGCCACACGCCCGTGGCGTGTGTGTGTGTGTGTGTGTGTGTGTGTGTGAGACCTCCGAGAGCCACACGCCCATGGCGTGTGTGTGTGTGTGTGTGTGTGTGTGTGACCTCCGAGAGCCACACGCCCGTGGCGTGTGTGTGTGTGTGTGTGTGTGTGTGTGTGTTAGTAACTGGGTGGGGCCGGCTGCCGTCTCAAATCCCACGTTCCTCCCAGGGTGTCCCCCCCCCAGTGTCCTCTCCCGACGATGAGCTCAGAAACCTCGAACGGTCTGACGTCTCTCTCGTGCTGCCAGCCCGTCCCCGAGTCCTGCTGGTTTTTCCCGTGCCCCTTAGCCTCCCCTCCCCGTCCCTCCTCGCCCATCCTTGCCCTTGGTCTGTCTCAGGCCACTGTGCCTGTCGCCAGCCCAGTCTCCCCTCGGCTTCCCGTCCTCCCGTCGGCTCCACGCTTCATCTCGTGCAGCCTCTGACCCCCGGGGCAGATGAGCCACCTTCGTTATTCCCCGTACCCCTGCCCGTCCACATGCCACCTTCTGATTTGTGCGCTCACAGCAGCAACCCCGACGGGACGTCCGCTTCCCTATGCGTCCGTCGCCACGCTGAGTCCTCGGTGCGCGTTGCCTTTGACTTTTACTACAACCTGCTGGGGCAGACTCTGCCCGCGGGGTTCGGAGATTAGCCAAGGGTCACACAGCCAGTAAGCGGCAAGGGAGAGGGAAGCCGGGGAGCGTGTGGCCCCGGAGCCCTGACGGAACCCCTCAGCCACGTGGCCTCGAAGGCTCGTCCCCAGTCCTGAGTCTTCCCGGGGCGGCCCCTGCAGGGAGCCAGCCTGTTGTGAGCCCCGTTGCACCAACATGTGTGCACTCGTGTGACACGCCGCGTTGGTCTCAGCCCGGCCACAAGACTCTCAGCTCCTTATTAAAAATAATTCTCAGAACTAACAGAACGTGTCTTACGCCAAGGGTAACGTGAATGAACGGTGACACTTTGGACAGATGTGCCCCGTGTGTCGCCCCCACACTGGGCTGACAAGGATAAAGTCCATGGCGCAGTGAGCCCCTTAATATCTGCCCCCCCCCCCCCCCCCGCCCCAGGCAGCATGCGCCAGGGTGTCCCTGCTGTAGAAACTTCACCCTCCGGGAAGAACGGAGGTTCTCATTCAGACGCTGATGGCAGACCACGTAGCGGGCGCAATCCCACCGGTGGAAGAAGCAGCACCTTGTATGGAGTGTTCTAAAAATAGCACATTTCTCTTCCTTCGCCTCCTAGTTCAAAGCAAATCTTGAGAAGAACAAGCAGGGCCTGGAGACCGACAACAAGGAGCTGGCGTGTGAAGTGAAGGTGCTGCAGCAGGTCAAGGCCGAGTCCGAGCACAAGAGGAAGAAACTCGACGCGCAGGTGCAGGAGCTCCACGCCAAGGTGTCGGAAGGGGACAGACTCCGCGTGGAGCTGGCTGAGAAAGCAAACAAGCTCCAGGTAAGCCCGGGGCAGCCTGGTGCTGGGCTCTGGATGGGTCCGCCCGCGGCGAGCGTGCCCCTCCGGAGTCCCTGGCCAGTGTGAGGCGCTCTGAGTTCACTAATACTTGAAGAATGGACGGCGTGAGGGCGCCCAGCCGGCTCAGCCAGAAGAGCACGTGACTCCTGATCCTCAGGGTCGTGAGTTCAAGCCCCACGCTGGTTGTAGAGATGACTTAAAATCAGTACGTACCATTTTTAAAAACCAGAAAAATCAAACTCAGGGCCGCCTGGGTGGCTCAGTGGGATAAGCATCCACCCCTTGAGCTCAGCTCAGGTCAGGATGGACTTGCATGCAGCCAGGAAAAACGATGCAGCAGATGAGTATTCGTTAGGAGAGACGTACGTTCCCCGTGTTGCTGAGCTAAAAACCAATCACAGAACTGTGACTGTCAGACACCCAGGACCAGCCCGCGGGGCAGTGACTCACTGGGCCAACTCCTCGGACGCAACGCGGGGTCCTGCTCATGGCCGTAGTTCTTAACAGTGGAAGGATACAAAGCAAGTGAATAAAGGGGAAAGGGGGGGCGCCCCTGAGGACACCGGGTGCGAGCTCCCGGCAGTCCTTTGGCGGGCAGGCCCACCCAGCACCCCGTTCCTCCCGCAGGGAGCTGGGACATGTGCAGGGAAGCTCGCGGAGACTGCCCAGCGGTGCAGTGGGGGGCCGGTCCCGTGGGCCCCTCTGCCTGACACGCACCAGTGTGTCAGATCCCAGAGGGGAAGCGGGTGCTCAGCGTAACGCACGGTGTTTACACCAGCCACCTCGGCACAGTGAGCCTTTCTATTTTAGGGAATGGTAGGCGCTTTCTGGAAGTCTGAGTTCCCAGACGCCAGCCACGGGCCCTTCTAAGGAGAGCGGTCCCAGCCTCCTCTGTTAACTCTTTCCTGGGTGTCCCGCCATAATGTGTGTGTTCTCGAAAGAGAACCTGTTAAATGGTGTTAGTGCTGCCACGTGTTACCGTCTGTGTGGCAGGGAGGCGAGCTGAGCCTGCATCCGGCTCCTGTGGGTGGTCTCCCGTTGGATCCTCACACCGCGCCCCCTGGGTGAGTCTGGGCGCCTCAAAGAAGCGGAGGAGGGCACCGCCCTCTGGCGACCCCCCTGGCGATCCCCGGAGCCAGAGCTGAAGGCGGAGGTCTCTGTCGAGTCCAGAGCCCTTCACCACCACGCTGTTGCCAGGGCTGTGGACACATAGGCTCTCCAAAGGCTGTTGCTAAAATGAGTACAAACAGAAATGTCCTTGGTTTGGGTCACGTGTATAGATATGTCCTCTGTGCACCTCCCCTTTGCTAATATGACCGGGGGACAAACCGGAGTGGGGGGGGCGTTTCCCGCTGTCTGTGAGGAAAGATTAGAAAAGGTCTTATATCATGGGGACTGGGGGGGGTTTACCACTTTATTCCTGAAATCTGACCATAAGAGATAGCTGAATGTCCGTGATAAATGTATGCCACCAGATTTTTAAGCCTAGAAAGTACTTTAGACTTGAAGACTAGGAAGTTAAACTTCTTTGAATCTCTATAATAAAGTTTTCAAGTTCTATAAGGATATGATTGTACTGCCCCCCACCCCCCCACCCCCACCAATGCAGGATTAATGCAGCTTAGTGTGAAAAAGGCCCAAGATACAACACCTGCTGATCTCAGAGCCTCTTCACACAGCAAAGCAATCCCTGGGAGGATTTAGTGTTCTTTCTGTCCCTTCGGGATAAGACAACAAGATGGTAAACCAGAGTTAGGAGAACCCCACTCCGTGTGTGGGCTCCGCCGTTCTAATCCTCCCCGTCCGTCGTCCTGCGGCGGCTGGCGCCGTGCCTGCCTCTCGGGGCGCTGGCAGCGGGAAGCAGACCCTCTGTGATGGAAGTCTTCCTTAATTGGGTTTGGCAGTTTGCAGGATCACCCTCCCTCCCCTGAATACTGCTGTTTGTGTGCATTTAGGAGTGGTGAGTTTGGACCCTTCCTATCTGCTTACTGATGAACTGAATCTTGTACTCCTTGCAGAATGAACTGGACAATGTCTCAAGTCTTCTGGAAGAAGCAGAGAAGAAGGGTATCAAATTTGCTAAGGATGCAGCTGGTCTTGAGTCTCAACTACAGGACACACAGGTAATCTGGGGGGTGAGGGCCCCTGATGGTAGGGTAGCTCTGCCGTGTCTCGCGTCTACAAGCTGGTCCCAGAATGGCTTTGTGATCATCTCTGGTTTTATGCTCAACTTTTATTTGGAACCGTCTTGCTACTAAGGAAATCTCCGAAGCTCGTAACTCGACGCAGAGCCCCCGGTCCCTGTCTAGCGGGCGTGTGGGCGGCCTGGGCGGCGGCTGTGCTCCGCACCATCAGGCACCGCCTGGGATGCGGTGCAAGCAGCCATCCTCCCGCGCGCACAAGCATCACTGGCCATTTGCACTAAGATGGTTTTCTTGTGGCTGAAATTCCCTGACCCTGACCTCACAGAGAGTCCCTACCGTAAAAGGACAGGTTGAAGCTCGCTAAATCCTACGGTTAAATCCCGTTATCAAAACGTGCCTTGGGAATGTCTTCAAGTCCGAGAGAAGTCGGGATGTTGACTTCGATATAAAAATAACGTAGCAGTTTTTTTCTTGGAGTTTGACATCTTTGTACTAAATCTTCGAACTTTATAGGAACGGGGATTTGCTAGATGCTGGGGATACAGGGGTAAAAATCTCAAGACAAAGGAGATCTGCGTAGCGGGGGCTTACCCGGTGACGAGGCACATCCTGGTCAGCACAGAAAGCCCTCTGCGTGCCTTTGGAAACTTTCAAGTCTGAAAGTCAATGGGAAAGACACGTTTGCGTTGACATTTTAGAAAAACGAGTCTGGCAGAAAGTATTAAAGGACAGACGCTGGAGGGGCGGCCCGGTCCTAGAGGTGATGGTAGTGAGAAATGCCCAGTTGCCTGAGCTAAGGGGCAGGGGAGCGGAGAGGGGGATTTGCCGAAGCGCAAAGAGGCAGGAGGAGCAGGGAAGGCGGCCCGGGCGCCGGGTGGACAGGGCTGCCGGTCGTGGGCAGCGTTTCTGGGAGGAGCGTTTATAAAATGATCACGTGTGTTTCTGAGTCCTTTCCGTCTCCTGCTGTCACCGGGTATTGCGCGCCCACCGAGGCGCTCTGGTGTTCGTGACATGAAGTTGTTTTTTTATAAGAGGTGTTTGTGTTGTGGTGCCTGGTGTGACTTCAGTCTTGATCTCTCACGAAAACAAACAGGAGCTTCTCCAGGAGGAGACACGCCAGAAACTGAACCTGAGCAGCCGCATCCGGCAGCTGGAGGAGGAGAAGAACAGTCTCCAGGAGCAGCAGGAGGAGGAGGAGGAGGCCAGGAAGAATCTGGAAAAACAAGTGTTGGCCCTGCAGTCCCAGGTGCGCGCACGCCCCCCCCTAGAAGCGGCGCTGGCCTGTATGTCGCTGCCACGCTGCGTCGTCCCATCTGCCTTTGGGACAGTTAATTAGGTTGAACTAAATTACACCCAAGAAGGGTTTTTCCCTTGACCCAGCCACATGCTGATACCACGCCGGTGGTTATGGTGCCGGAAGCATTTAAAATAAAGCCCTAGGACCATGTCCACTATTCAAACCAGTCGTCCCTTTGTGGATTATTAGCTAAGAAATTCAGTTACAGTCGAAGGTTCGTTTGTTCAAAGTCACAGTGTTGATTTCGAACTCGCTTTCTCTCTGTTCCTGCCCTGTAAGCGTCAACGGGGTTGTTTGACGCGGATCTCTCTTCCTGTAAAACCCAGCTCACGGACACCAAGAAGAAAGTAGATGACGACTTAGGAACAATCGAGAGTTTGGAAGAAGCCAGAAAGAAGCTTCTGAAAGACGCGGAGGCGTTGGGCCAGCGCCTGGAGGAGAAGGCCCTGGCCTACGACAAGCTGGAGAAGACCAAGACCCGCCTGCAGCAGGAGCTCGACGACCTGACGGTGGACCTGGACCACCAGCGCCAGATCGCCTCCAACCTGGAGAAGAAGCAGAAGAAGTTCGACCAGGTGGGTCCCCGGCGCCGCATGCTGTCTCCTCCTGGCAGCGCCCTCCTTTGGGTGGCTTATGGTTTAAAGGCATCTGTAGAAAGTTGGAAGAGGAGACAAGCAAAAACAGGGGAACAGCCCTAATCGGGTGCTGTGCCTCGCTGTAAGTCCGACACGCAGAGAAGGAAAAGCAGTGCTGTCGCTCTTTAAGCCCTTGTCCGTATTAACCCCCCCCCCGCCCCCCCCCCCCCCCCCAGCTGTTAGCGGAAGAGAAGAACATCTCTGCTCGCTATGCGGAAGAGCGAGACCGCGCCGAGGCGGAGGCCAGAGAGAAGGAGACCAAAGCCCTGTCCCTGGCCCGGGCCCTCGAGGAAGCTCTGGAGGCCAAGGAGGAGTTTGAGAGACAGAACAAGCAACTTCGGGCAGACATGGAAGACCTCATGAGCTCCAAGGATGACGTGGGGAAGAACGTGAGTAGCCCTGGGGAACAGTCCTCGGAGGGGGGCAGGCGACTCCCCGCAAGCACCTGGTGGGTCCGGGGGCGTCCAGGCCGGCGCGTGAGGAGGGGTGGGTGACGTCTTCGGGGAGAACCTGTCAGATTCTGTGCGCGGTCTGTTCTCGTGGCGGGGCTGACAGATGGGGAGGCCTTGTTTACTGATGGCACTTTCGTGGGTGCTCCCCACCCCCCCCCCGCATCCTGGCGGGGGACGGTGAAGGCGGCATGTTCTTGGCCCCGAGTCCCAGGTAGTCACCAAACACAAGTACCTCGAGGGCCCCTCCCGCTGACCAAGGGCAGCGGGAACCCGGAGGGGGGCCGGAGGCACCTACAGCTCTCCCTGACCCCGGCCTTCCCGGTCGAACGCTCTGGGCACTCATTCACGGTCTGGAAATGTCTGCGGTACTGTCCTCTTACCGCACGCACGCTCCACGAGAACTGCGATGATTTTTATGTGCCCCACGCCCCTCCTTTAGGTGCATGAGGTGTGGAGGATGGCCAGGCCAGGCCAGGCCAGGCCTGGGGCTAGAAACAGGTTTGGGGCTCGGCTCTTCTCCCCAGCTTCCGTTCTCAGCAAGAGAAGCCACTTGATCTCTCGAGCCCAAGCTCTGTCATCTGCCCGATGGACAGGACACGTCCCCTGTTTCATGAAGCCACAGCGCGTGCTCTTTGAAAAGCATAACATCTCATTTTCATGGGATGTGGGCGCCCCGGCCCCGTCATAAAAGAGGGAAGACCATCCTACCTTCCCATTGGGTCTCCGACAGCCCGGTGTCTGGCGGATCAGCCCCTAGGCAGTAGGCCACCTAGAGCAGAAACGGCCATGATTACACAGTAAAATGTAGAGCAAGACTCCAGTTACTTTCATTGTTTTTTTTTTTCTTTCTTTCTTCTTTTAATCAAGTGAGCTCTCCGCCCAACACGGGGCTCGAACTCACAACCCCAAGATCAAGAGTCAGACACTCCCCCAGCTGCGCCAGCCGGGCGCCCCGTTGTTTGCTTGTTCGTATTAGTCGTTCGCCAGGATCATCAACAGTCACACATTCACTCCACAGACACTGTGCCTAAGAAGCAGCAGACGCTGCGGAGACACCAGGGCCTCACGCCCTAGCTCCTCCTGCCCCTGCGAGCCCCAGAGGGGAGGCGGAGCGCCTGCGCCTGAAGGGGGTCCCCGGGGGGTGGAGGCACCTGGCCCAGAGAACTAGGTGGATGTTTGCGATGGGGATCTTTGTCCAGAGAAAGGCCAGGCCACCTATTTCCCCGCACCCTGCTTCCCAGACCCAACTCACCTTACTATTTAGAATTTCCATGTGCATTTTTGGCCCCAGCTACCTTCCCCACGGCAGGACGGGATGTCCTGAGTGCCTTGTATGCACAGACGGCCGGCAGATGGCCAGTCAGCATCCCAGTCCCTCTGACACCGCGCTCGTTCCTTTGTTCTTTGGCTCGTAAAGTCCGCTCCGCTTCGAGGTCATCAGAGAACAACTGAATGGTTATGGCGCGCATGTCGATCAGGAGCTCCGAACTGTCCTCTAAACGGCATCCTCCAAAATGAGGAGTGGCACAGGCCGTAGCAGGAGAGGGAAGGATGTGTGTGACGTCGGGGGAAGCTGGTCCGGGAGGGACCAGAGTGGCCTTCGAGCCGCGTGGGGGCCTCTGATGGAAGACACAGACGGCCGTCCCCATCTGTGCCTCTGCCAGGGGTCATCTCTTCCCTGCTGCTTCCTGTGCTTTAGGTGCACGAACTTGAAAAATCGAAGCGTGCCCTGGAGCAGCAGGTGGAGGAGATGAGGACCCAGCTCGAAGAGCTGGAGGATGAACTTCAGGCCACGGAGGACGCCAAGCTTCGCCTAGAGGTCAACATGCAGGCCATGAAGGCCCAGTTCGAGAGGGACTTGCAGACCAGAGACGAGCAGAATGAAGAAAAGAAGCGGCTCCTGGTGAAACAGGTAGGTCGGAGGCAGCGCGGCCTCGGGAACGGGAACCTGCGCGTTCTCGAAGTCCGGCTGTGGGTCAGTATCCTGACGCCGGAATTCACATCAGAACACGTTAGCGGGAGGAAAACCAACGTAGTTGATCATTTGGTCTTTAAAATTTAGTGTACTTGTTTCTGATTTCCTGTTTCCTTATTTATCAAACACCACCACTGCTGCTTACGGGCCAGAAAACTTCTCAGTAATTACATAGCCCTCGGGGGGATCTCAAGAGACAACGCAGTTAGGTTCAGCTCCGGGGAGTCGTAAATGTGTGGGTGAAGGAGAGAAGCCACCACGGCTGACGAGGGGACTCCGCATTTCTGAAGTTCAGATCACATGCCCTCATGAAACCACTCCTCAGAGGGAAAAAAAGCCAGATGAGTCTCCTTTTTTTTTGTTTGTTTTTTAAGATTTTATTTATTTGAAAGAGAAAGAAAGAGCATGAGAATGGGAGGGGGGGAGGAGCAGAGGGAGAAGCAGACTCCCCAGTGAGCAGGGAGCCCGATGCGGGGCTCGATCCCAGGACCCTGAGATCACGCCCTGAGCTGAAGGCAGACGCTCCACTGACTGAGCCACCTGGGCGCCCGCCCTCCTTTTTTTTTTTTTGGTTTTAAAAGGTTGCTGGGCACTTATGATTTGTATACTTGGCCGAATGTATGTGAGATTTCTAATTTATAAGTTCACTTTCAAAACTAACTGTGGCTATCTTGACAGTCCCTTGGAGTTGGTGGTATCAAGTCTTGGATCTGGGATAGATCTGTTTTATTTTGTTATTCTCAGGCACTAGTATTTAACATATTAGCCGTTTCTTGCTAGATAACTAGCGATCTCAGACTTAGTGACTCAGAACAGCACTTACATAGCTCCCAGTTTCTGTGGGTCTGGAATTCTGAATCCATGGGGCAGGTGCATCGTCTGAAAGCCGGACTTGGGCCAGAGGACCCGCGTCCAGGCTGGCTCCCCCCCACCCCCCACCCCCTCGAGCCTGGGGCCCTGGCCCGAGACCTCGGCTCCTTGCCGCGGGGCTGCTCCACAGGCCCTTGAGTGTCCCTGCAAGAGATGTCTGCCGGCTTTCCCTGTGTCGTCACCTTGGCTAGGAGCCCGAGGTCACGGACTCTGCCTTCCTGCGCGCCCCCACGGTAGCCCGCGGGAATAGTGCATACGAGACGTTACTGTTCAAGACCTCCCTGAACACATTTCAGCTCCAGAGAGCTGCCACAGAGTCACCGTCTGGATGCCAGGCCGCCTGTCCCTGCGAGGGGACCCGGGGTATGGCCGGGCCTGACCCGATGCTGTCCACCAGGTGCGGGAGCTGGAGGCGGAGC